GTGAAAAGATTCTCGGCATCACTTCATCGTCCCTTCCCCATCTTTTCTTCGGCTGCTGGTCAAAGCAGCTTGGAAAAGTCTTCACTCTCTCCCTGATTTTGTGGGTTTTCACCACCAGCATGTGAATACGAAGCACTAAAGTTCCTACTGTTTTCTCATACTGCCGTGCCATTAGCTCTCTGCTTGCTTCAAGGTGGTTTCAGATGTTTTCAAAGTTGACAGTGAACTTTCTATGAGGGAACTTTAGGAACCAAAAATCTTCATTTTTCTTGGGAGAAAGTGATCGATTTTGAGGTCAGGAGAATGTTTCCTAAATAAACTTCAGTAGCAGTATTACCTTCTGGGTTAATCATGGTCGTATAGGCCAAAACAGTATTAAGAATATATGTAGGCAACTGAATCATTGAACTTGACTCAGAAAGAGGAATTTCCTACTTAGTTGAGGTGACTGAAGGGTTAACAAATGACCTAAGGGTGCAGGGATAACTGCCTCCCCCAAGGGCTACAGGTCCAGGTATTTTTTACAGATTTTTGCTTCCAGTGCCTGGAAAAAACAGCTGCCACCAGTGAGTTCTCAGGTGGGGCAAGCTTAAAATATATGGGCTCAGGGCTCAGCAGCTCTTAGACCAGAATAAGAGATGATATCCTGTTTATTAGCTACTGGAAAAACTCTCTGTGTCTGTAATTCCCCCTTTTGCTCTGCAGCCGGTTGCTCCAGGGCCGTCTGCTAAAACGTCCCTGTTTTCCTGCTGGTGAGCAGCCGTGCTCGGTGCTGGCGCGCCGCACCGCGGCTCCGCTTCGGAGGGGTTTATGGAGCGCGCGGGCAGGCAGAGGCCGCTCTGAGCATGACAGGGGTGGGCATTCCCGTCACGCGGCTCCAGCTCCGGCTCCGGTTGCATGGCTGCGGGGCATTAGGACCCGCAGGCTGCGGAGCGGAGGAGGCCGGATCCCTCTCCCGCTGTCATCCCCGGCCGCTGCAGCCTAATTCCTCATCTCCTTCAATGGTGACGGACTCCTTCCCGCCCGGGCGGGCAGCCGCAGCGAGGCCGCGCTAGGAGCGCTTCCCGGCGGATCCATGGCATCTCCCAGGACCATCACCATCGTGGCCCTCTCGGTGGCCCTGGGGCTTTTCTTCGTCTTCATGGGGACCATCAAACTGACCCCGCGGCTCAGCAGAGACGCCTACAACGAGATGGTGAGCGCGGCGCCGCTGCGGGAGACGGGGTCCCGAACGCAGCGGCGGATACGGAGCAGCCGGGAAGCCTGGAAAACCGGGAGGGAGGGGGAAGGGGGGTCTCCCGAGCCTCTCTGCCTCCTCATCCGGCAAACCCGGGGGGAAACACACAGCATGGAGAACACCCCAACAGCCTTTGCTTGGGCTCTATCGGAGCTTATTTACGGAGAAACCGCCCGTGGATAAGGAGAGCGCGGGGGGAGGGATGGAGGAGCCTGCGTAAACATTGGGAAATGAAGGGCTCTGCAAGGCAAAATGTGAGGGAGGGCGTAGCAGCGAGATGGAGCCCATCCTAGGGCTGTTGGGGGAATCCCAACCCCTGGAAAAGGAAAGGAAAAGGCACTATCTGTCTGATTCAGGAGCCACAGCAGCGTTCTCAAAATTATCCACGCTTTAAAGCAGGGATAATAACAAAGACTGTCCCTGCCTCACCGGGCTGGTGCAGGGATTAATTTGTGACCGTGAAATGCTTAGAGATTCTTAGCTAGAGGAGGAAGATATTATTAAGATATTAAGATATTATTAAGTTGCATTATTGGCATTCCCTGCGACGCAGCCTCTCCTTCCTCTTGCAGAGGGGAAGGAGAAGTCGCTCCGGGCATTTCCCAGCGGATTTGCAAGTCTCACCCTGCTGCAGAGCGTTACCTGCTGCGAGCACCGGCAGGCTGAGGGTCTGTCCTCTGCCTCTCCTTCCTCACCCCTGTTCCCCGGCTCCCTCCCTGCCCCGTTTTCGTGATGGTTATTGCGATGGCTGAAAGGTGCTCGTGTTATTTTTTGGGCCCCCTTGAGAAACGGTGATGGAAGTTTCCAGCACATTCTGCTCTCTGCCATCTGTGCACCTGCCCAGCTGCTTTTCCTGAGCTCTCAAATAACATCTGAGCTGCAGGGTTTCGCCTGCACCCAGCCGAGAGCGCCCCGAATCACCAGGACACAACCAGGCAGCAAGAGATGCAGGCAAAATGTCCAGAAAATAAAGCTCTTAAGCTCTTGCTGCATAAGTAATAACAATTATAAGGAAAAAGGCATTGCGACTTGAGAAAAATCCTTGCAAAATCCTTGCTGTCCATAATGTTTTGCTTCTCTGAGGGTTTCTTTCCTACTTTTTTTCCTGAAAGAATCAAGCTGACAGGTAGGAATTATCCTCATTTTTGCAAAAGAGAAAGCAGAGGCGCTTACAAGCGACATCATACCTAATTCCCCGTATTGTAACACGTTCCTGGCTCATCAGGCTTTGATGCTTTTTGCTGTGCTGTGCACCAGGGTGGTCTGCAAGGTAATGGAGATGGCGAGGGAGAACTCGATCTTCCCAATCAATGTCTGGCCTCTTGCCCCAGGCAAACACAGATCCGCTGTTACCTACTTGCAACATCAAATCCGCATTTGTTTTCATTCAGAAAGAAAAACACACATTAGTTTCTCTATTAAAATATTGAGAATATCAGAGTGCACTAGGGCACTGTGGCAGAGAGTTTCATTTTAAGCTGTATTTTGCACAACAGGTTAAAAAGATGTTTTTTTCGAGATGAGGTTTTGCTCCCTGGGGGTTTAAAGTGTGTCCTTAAAATACATACATTTGGAGTAGAAGTGTCATGGGATGTTTGGTTATTTAATAGCAAGAATGCTGCACGTTTTGTTTTTGGCAGCATGTGAAGGACGCAGCAAAAATCACCAAGAATTGGGGAAGTTTTGGGTGCCCATAATGCACATTTGCACAGTGACAGCTGAGGCTGATGCAGGCTCTGAGTAGCGCGTGTGAGATCCGCGCTGCCGTCTACCTGAGATGGAGCTTCCATTTCTCTCTCCTGATTAGGCAGCAGGGAACACAACGGCAGGAACATCTGCAGGACCAGCACATCCTAGTGCGAATGGAAATAATATTGTTATTAAAAAAAAAGAAAGAAAAGCAAATATTTGGCTGCAGACAAAAAGTCTCCAGTACTTAGTGTTCAGCTGAACAATTTGAACGTATATAAAGAGAGAGGTTGTTTTCCCCAGTAAGAACAAGGAGTCTGTCTAAAGAGTTTGTCTTTTAACTATCCTGCTTCTAAATCCAGTGGAAACCAGGCAGGAGGATGGCAAACGACAGCTTGTTTTTATCAGAGAAAAGACAAGACTGGAAGCTGTGTGAGAACAGGAGCAGGTTTGGGGAATCTCAACTTTGATGTCCAGCCCCACTCTTAGATGGTCCTGGAATATTTGAGGCTCCTTTGGGGTGGGGACTTGTGGTTTTGCTCTGGCCCTTTGGCTTTGCAGGGACTAGGTGCACTATTTCATTAGGCTGGCTGCTTTTGGGGAGAGTATTTTTTAATAACGTGGTTCTGCATTGTTAATTTAGCAATGGTAACCTCAGGAAAAGGTTGGCCTGGTCCTAGCTCAGGAGATGGGTGCTACCCTGAAGAGCTGTTTTCTAGCTAAGAGACCATGTAGAAAGCTGGGAGATGCATCCAGCTTGGAGGCAACTCATTTCCCCAAAAAGGGGGAACTGCAGGCTCAGTTGGACAGTGGGAATATCCTTCCAACAAGAGCTTATGGGGCACAGGCTGGAAATGAGGCCAGAGGAGTCTGCGATGACCAAAATTGTATTGCACATCAGTCCATGCCCCTGAAAGCCTTTTTATTTGCTCACATTACGGTGCTCTACACTGTTTGATTCCAGAAACGAGCCTACAAAAGCTACGTGCGGGCCCTTCCCATGCTGAAGAAGATGGGAGTCAGCTCCATCCTCCTCCGCAAGAGCATCGGGGCCCTGGAGGTGGCGTGTGGCATCGTCATGACTCTGGTGCCCGGCCGCCCCAAGGACGTGGCCAACTTTCTGCTGCTCCTCCTCGTGCTGGCGGTGCTCTTCTTCCACCAGCTCGTGGGGGACCCGCTCAAGCGCTATGCCCATGCCCTGGTCTTCGGGATCCTGCTCACTTGCCGCCTGCTCATCGCCCGCCAGCCCGAGGAGCAGCCGCCAGAAAAGAGGGTCCTGTCGGTGAACGGGGACGAGCAGCCGCTCGGCCACGAGGCAGCTCCCGAGAAAGGCAAGATGAAGGTGTCCTAGTGGAGCGCGTTTGAGGAACACGGACCCATGAGGCAGCTCTCTCCTAAAGCACCCAGATCCTTCTTTTCTTCTTCTTTTTTTTTAAATTTACCTATTTATATATTTTTTGGCTGTCTAAATAAAGTTGCACGTGGGGTCTGAGAGACACGGGGTATGTCTACACTGTAGTTGTGCTTTCGCTGCTCCCTTGTATGGTGGAAAAACACAAGCTGGCTTTAAACTAGCGAGCTTGGAGGCTGTTTGCACCCTGGCCTGAGGGGCACCGGCCTCAATAGGAGCTGCAAAACCATCCCGAGAACATGGAAACAGCCGGGCAGTTAATGAGTGCTGCTGGAGGGGAGCAAGTGGTCCCCGTCGGGCAGTTTAAGCCTAGTTTGAGGTTGCATCTTGGTTGCAACTGCGGTGTAGGACATAGCCAGGGTGTCCAGGGCACGCGTCCCTCTCTGGCTTGTGCAACCCTCCTTGCAGAGCTCTCCGATCTGCAAACGTACACGTTTTCTTTCACACAGTCAAGGGGGAAAGGCCCTTGATGAGCATAAATAGGAGTATTTGTGTTGGAGGCAGGGATCCTTAGTCTCTGCTGCCTCAGAGGCCTGGTTCTCCAGGGAAAACAGACGATGCCACTATTTGCCTTTCCCTGCATTTCTACTCTTTGCAGAGGTTCTAAGCCTGGGGCATTGCCCTGCCAAGAGTAACTGTTTTTCCCCCTGCTTCACATGAGCCACTGGTACCCCTTCATCCCTCTGAGCAGACAGCAAGGATCCCTGGTCAGAAGATGGGGAGAACTGCCCCAAAACCAGTTTTTAAACCAATAACAACCCCTCAAATCCCCAAACACGTGCCTGCTGCTGGCAAAAAGCATCATGTTCCCTATTTCCTTACAGGGGGTGGAAAAAAATCCCCCTTTTCACTATTGCAACTTTATAATCTTGTCGGTTATTGCTGATAGATAAGGGGCTGAACCTGCCCGGGTACTGCGTCGAGCATCCCACCCGCAGCTCGGGCGAGCTGGGGGAAGTCCTGCTGCAAGAGCCCGAATCCCTGTGTGCTGTATCTGAAATATTACCGAGTGTCATGAGAAGTGTGTTTTGAGTTCTGTTTGTTTTCTCGATGCTTGTCTGTTTTCATTTTTTTCCTTATTTTCTTAATTATTCACGAGAATAAACTTTTTGAAATTTGGAGGAAAATGTTTCCACCGTAGCATTTTTTTTTTTTGAGAGAGAGAGAGATAGGTGTGTCTGAAAATAGTTTACATGGGCTTAAAAATGCATCTAAAATGGACGGAATGGTTTAGGGGAAATCCACTGAGGAGGACAAGGTAATGCAGGGTGGAAACCACATGAACATTGCTGGACTGAGCATTAGCTGCAGACATGTAAGAGAGATATTTGAGATGTAAAAAGACATAAATGTCTTTTTCAGTACAATGTGTCAGTGAATAAAAGAACTGCCCCCCAAATATTGATATATTTCTATTAAATTGATATTCACATGCATCATATTCAGACCTGATCTTCCAGTTTCACTCAACACAAGGTTGCTGCTGAAACAGATGCCCAAATATCCTGCAAAATTCCCCAAACGTTGGTTCTCCCCATCCAGACTTCAAATATTGATATTATATTTCTATGAAATCGATGTTCACATGCAGCATATTCAGACCTGATCTTCCAGTTTTACTCAACACAAGGTTGCTGCTGAAACAGATGCCCAAATATCCTGCAAAATTCCCCTCACAGCCCCAAACGTTGGTTCTCCCCATCCAGACCGGAGGAACCTCGGGAAGCCGCCGCTGCGGGCCGCTCTCTCGCCTTTACAGACCACCTCAAGGTCACCCCAAACCCATACACCATTTCCTGCGCTCCCTGAAAGACCAGAATGAAGTTAATAGCCACATCTTAATTCACAAATGGGATAAAAACACCTCGATAACTAGATGCAGCCACAAAGGAGCGCCCGGCTGCTCCAAGCCCCGGGCTCGTGGCAGGAGCTCCGTGTTTATCTATATTGGATTGACCTCCCTCCTTGCCCCCCAGCATTAGGCGGCTATTTTGGGACGCTACCCGTCATCTTTGCTGTGTGGAAGCGATAAGGCACTGAGGAACTAATTTAGCCTCTTGGCAACACCACATTATGTTCACTTTCCTTTTATTTCTTTAATTACTTATCAGCTCTTCTCTTTGAGCTCGCTGCATTCCCGCCCCTGCAGCCAAGGCCCTGTCATACTGAGACAGGCTGCAGCACCTCTCCTCTCACCGAGGGAGGCTGGAAACAACGTTTCCCATTGGAATCTGACCATTTTTAACGTTTTACACCCTAAAAGCGCGGCCCTTTCCCCCTTCCCACATCCGTCCCGCCCCCGCCGCGAGGGGCAGGCGAGTGCCTCAACGCGCACGCGCGGCTCGGGGGGGGGGAGGGGGAGCGGGGAGCCAGGGCGAATGCGCACGGCGAG